GCAATGATTACATCAAAAGTCTGAATAAGCTCATTTTTTCATTCCTATGGGGCAATCGAGAACGCATTAAGCGACTTACATTAATTCGAGAAATTAAAGAGGGGGGTGTAGGAGTTATTGATCCGGACACCAAAATTAAAGCTATTAAAGCAGCCTGGGTATCTAAACTTCTACAAAATAAGAGCAGTCTAAGTAAGCTTTTAAATGCAATTTTAGCAACTCATAAAATGAATATCCAATATATTGCAGAGTCAAATGTAACAAAACTTTCTGACTTCAATAGTCTGAAAGGGCTTTCACAATTCTACAAAGAGGTTTTTACTGCCTTTAATGAATGCAAGACTTTAAATAACAATGAAACAATAGACAAAATTTTACGACAAAATATTTGGTTTAATACAAACTTTAGATACAAAGGGAAAATCTTGTATTTTCAGAACTGGTACGAAAGCGGCTTTCATTACGTGAAAGATCTTGTTAATGATACTGGTTTTAAATCGCTTAATGAAATAGCTGAAAAACTAAAGTCAAAACGAAACTATCTTTGTGAATATTTAATATTAAAAAACGTTTTTTATTCTAAAATATATGGCGATACAAGTATGGGAAAATATATTAATATCAACAAAGAGTTTCAATTTAAATTACAAGGAAAATTAGAAGATATAAGTAAAACAAAATCTAGTTTCTTTTATAAAATCTTAATATTTAACAAGTCCGAAAAGCCTATCATGGAAAGTTTTTGGGAAAAGGAATTTAGTGTTACAAACCAACTGTGTTGGCGAAAAATATATGAGGAAAAAATTGTAAAAATTAATGACAAAAATATTGCCGAATTCAATTTTAAACTACTGCACAATATGTTACCAAATAACTTGTATCTTAGTAAATGGAATAAAAATATTGAAAAATATTGTTCTCATTGTCAGGAAATAGAAAATACAAAACATATGCTTTTTGACTGTATACTTATAGAAAATATTTGGAAACGAGTGTCTGTTGTACTTAAAGTTAATATTGTTTGGAAACATCTTGTATTGGGTTTTAGTTATCATGGAAACCAAACAAGCACAGTTTTGAATAATGTTGTTTCTTTCATAGCATTTAAAATTTTTAAATATAAGATGAAATGTAAATTATTAGAAGAAGAAATAACAAGTGATGGGCTTAATTTATTTTTGAAGTCATCGCTTGCTAACTTTTACCTTGTTAATCGGCAAGCACAAACTATCAAATTTGATTATTGTATGCTAAAAACTCTGTCTGAAAAATTGTAAATTGTTATTTTTATTATTACTAGCAGTTATTCTTTCTATCTATCACTCACTACAGGATTAGCCAGTAATCTTGTATTTCGGAGGTAAATTTATGATATGGACTCTGTGGTGTGTAAGGATTGTACCTCCGAATTTGTGAGTGGTCCATCGTCTTATTATATGACATATAAGAAAAAAAAAATTCATACATATTATAGTAAGAATGTGTGAAGTAACAATTATTAGTATAGTAACAAGTATAAGTATCTTTTAAAGACACAATCTATATATATAACGATATGAATACCTTTAAAAATATTTTTGAATCTACATGATTATATTCTTTGTATATTAATATACATATATGTTTTAAATTTCCAATCCAGGGGGCCCCTGGCACCCCAGGTGAGGAATACACGGAGGACCTCTTAGGAGGTATTGCCTCAAAACTTGATTTATATTTTTGTTGAATAAAAACTCTGAAAAAAAAAAAAAAAAAAAAAAAAAAAAAAAAAAAACTACAAGCCCTATGATGACCAAACTTGCCTTGATGATGCATACTACCAGGCTGGCTTCGAATGCTGAATCTGACCTACATTTTTTTCTGGATGAGTGAAGAGGGTAAATTTTTATGCAGGTCTCATTTCTAAGTAACTATTAGCCCTATGTTGTGCAAACTTATATGGATGATACACCTTAGGATGCACACTAATGGATTTGCTTCCAGATAATGGACCAGGTAATAGTTATGGGTGCAGATTATCACCAAGAAACTATAAGGCTTATATAAACCAAATTTGCCACAATGATGCATCAAGGGATGAAAATCTCCAACTTGCTTCAGATGTTGAATTTTAATAACATTTTTGTGATGAAGAACTAGTTTGAAGTTTTTTATAGGTCTATTCCAAAGTATCAGATCAAAATTGCATAAATATTGCATTTTTGGATGTACACTTTTTGTTGGGTTATTGTGTGACTTTGCCTTACTTAAAGACTACATTCGTTGAGGTGAGCTCTGTAACTGTAATCTCTGATTACCTATGTTTTTTATTGTCCCCCGCTTTCGCGAAAGCGAGGGGACATTAAATCTCATTCGTCTGTCTGTCTGTCCGTCTGTCCGTCAGTCTGTCAGTCTGTCAGTCTGTCCGTCACAAAAACTTTAACCTTGCCCATAACTTTTGATTTAGTGGAGCTATGACTTTCATATTTCACATGTGTATTCCTTGTGACAAGACCTTTCTTTGGGTACCTGCAAATTTGACCTTTTGACCTTGACCTTGGAATTTGACCCACTTTTATACAAAAATTTTAAAGTTTTACTTTAGCAATAACTCTTAAACAGTAGATACTAGTGCTTTTATATTTCACATATGTATTCTTTGTGGCAAGACCTTTCATTGGATAACAACAACCCTGACCTTTTGACTTTGACCTTGGAGATTTACGTACTTTAGAAAAAACTTTAACCTTGACCATAACTTTTGAACGGTGAGGACTAAGGCTTTCATACTTCACATATGTAATCCTTGTGAGAAGACCTTTGATTGGATACCAACAATTTTTACCCTTTGACCTTGACCTTGGAGTTTTAACTACATTTAAAAAACTTTAACCTTGGTCACAACTTTTAAACAGTGGATACTAGGACTTTTATATTCCACATATGTATTCCTTGGTTCAAGACATTACATTGGATACCAAAAACCTTGACCTTTTGACCTTGACCTTGGATATTTAAGTACTTATGAAAAAACTTTAACCTTGACCATAACTTTTGAACGGTGAGGGCTATGGCTTTCGTACTTCACATATGTAATCATTTTGAGAAGATCTTTGATTGGATACCGACAACTTTTACCCTTTGACCTTGACATTGGAGTTTTAACTACTTTTTAAAAAAGCTTTGACCTTGGTCACAACTTTTGAACGGTAGAAACTAGGACTTTTATATTTCACATGTGTATTCTTTGTGGCAAGTCCTTTCATTGGATATCAATAAATTTGACCTTTTGACCTTGACCTTAAAGATTTACGTACTTATGAAAAAACTTTAACCTTGACCATAACTTTTGAACAGTAAGGGCTAGGGCTTTCATACTTCACATATGTAATCCTTGTGAGAAGACCTTTGATTGGATATCAACAACTTTGACCCTTTAATCTTGACCTTGGATTTGACCTACTTTAGAAAAAATTTTACTTTAAAAATTTCCATAACTTTTTAACGGTCAGGATTAAGGTTTTCATCCCTCAAAAAAAATCAACTTCAATGTTACTTTCTAAATAAATGACATATGATAAGATGTTCATGTTACACACAATATTTCATAAAAAATAACATCTCACCCACAAAGACACCGAAAGCGGGGGACCACAATTCTTTGAATTTGCTTGTTTCTGTTTTATTTCTAACTTCTTGTTTTCCAAATTTCTCAAAAGTTTCAAGTTTCTGTTTTTCCAATCAAGACAATTTTTATTATTATTTCTTATTTACCCCCCACCTCCCATATGAATAAAATGGCAGTATCCATGTTTTGTTCTGGAAAATCCAAAATATACGTCAGATCAAAAAGTAAAATAGGAGGTCACAATTGCAATATGTAATAAAGATTATGTGAAAGTTTCATTACATTTCCTACAGTGGTATGAGAGGAGTTGCGGATAAGAGATGGGTACCCCAAAGCGTAACAGATGGACATACAGCTAGACAGACGGACGGACACGACAAAAACCACTAATATAAATTGGCGTCTTCAGCTTAATTTGAGACTTCTCTAAAAGGAATACTTTGTAGTACTAGAAGTCAGGTAAAGAGAAATACATAGAAGAAATTCAAAAATTGATAGCATCAATTTGTAGATATTAAAAGAAAAGAAACTAACAAAAAAATATAATGATGGTAACAGCATTTGGGGATTACAACATATATAACTGACATACTGTACTTGTAAGGCGTTTTTACTAGATTATAATTACAGTACTGTGAAAACTGTTTTAGTAGTATTGTACAATTATAGTTGATTATGACAAGAAAGACAACTCAAAAACCATTGTTAACTTTAGTTTTTTTTTTGGAGAATGGTTAGAATAAATATCCGGACGCTAAATAAATTCACGCATAAAGTGAGCTTTCAGTAAAATATTCATAAATAATAAGCTCAAACCCCTAACTAATAGACTGATGATGAACTTATCATCACAGGAGTACTGTTCAATGAAATATATGTAGATAAACAATATTTAATTAAGCTTAAAAGTCCATAAAACAATACAAAATAGGAGCTAGCAGAGCAATCACGGACCTCCAAAATCAGAGGTGGGATCAGGTGCCATGGAGGAGTGAGCATCCCCTGCTGACCGGTCACACCCGCCGTATGTTCCTTGTCATGATCGGGAAATAATGGGAAAATCTATATATCAAAGTACAGATGAACATCGGTATCTCGAAAACGTATTGAAGTGATTTGATGGTCCCAATTACTTATTTTTTAAGTATTTTACACGTTTTTATATATATGTTGAATTATCAGAATCTTGAAGTTTTTTTCAGTCCCATTGAGTTTGAGATAACTAAGTTTGACTGTATTTTGTCCAAGTTCAAACTGAGGAATTACTGGAGATGTTGGCATGACTATGGTGATATGATCATGGTATATCTTCTTATTTGGAGCTTTGAATTAGTCTGAATTACTCAAGAAATCTGAGTCCATGCAATTGATACACAAATAAATACATCAAGAATGCAATTCTATACATTTTATTTTTTAAAAATGATGAAAATAATGATAAATAGAAAAATTTAAATGTAATGTAGAGATGATCGATCGTAACAGAAGTCTGTTTTTTGTCCAAGTTATGTTCAGCCGGTAATTTATAAGTGAATATCTTATATAGTTTCATCATTAGGTTCCACACACAGTCTCTTATTTTAAACCAAAGAATTTCCTCAGCCGTCCTCGGAATGTTTTCTTTCTTGGTAGGCTGGGTACCTGAATAATAAGAAAGAATATTAGTTAGTTGAATATGATATTATATTTTGTAATATAATAAATGTACATGTAGATCTAACAAAAAGTAAACACATGGATAGAGTGAAATGCCTAGACATGAGGCATGATAGATGTTGCTTTGTCTTTTTTACCTATTTAAATTCATTGATAGACTTTGCATAAATGCCTAAAACACAAATTACTTGTTCTACATACCTGTCTTAAACTTGAGGTACAGTGGCCCTTCTTAATCTCTGTTTCCTTGTGGCATTGTGTAGTCTCAACATTCTAGAAAGGAAGAAATTATTTTGTTAAGCACTTTTAACAAACATTAACAATATTTACAAATTTTTAGCTATGTCATCTTTGCTCACAAGGTTTTCTGACCCCCTCTCCTTACAAACAATAGATTTATATGAAAGAACATTGCATAATTATCATCTCCCATAGATAGTACGTCAAGTGAATGTCGGTAATACGCATATTTTCATTGAATTGTTTTGCACAGGAAAAACTTCCAAATGATTTCTACACACTAATATATCAAAATTTTACCTGTGGAGAAGTTTTAAATGTGTCCACGTTGAACATAAAAAGCTTTCTAGGGACAAATAAATCTTCTTCCTCATCCTCTGGGTTGGTGCCTTTGTTGAATTTCTATAAAATATAGAACCCTTCATTAATGTACTTTGTAGAAATATATTTGATTTTGTTTTGTGTGTTTCAATTTTACAAGTTAAAACTATGAAAACTATTAAGTCAGTCTTTCAGATGCATAACTTAATTTCTTCTCTTTTCAAACCATTTTAGTCTCAACACTCCACATTTTGGATGCCAAAAATATAAATAAAGGAAGTTCACATGAAGACTTACCATCAGCTCTTTGTGGATAGCTTTCCAGATTGTCTTCCTTCTCTCTTCTCTCTCATTTCTTATCTCCAAATTTCTTGATGCTACAACCTGAAAATGAAAATTTATCAAAACTTATTAATAGTTAAGGTTATTTTAAAAATTGTGAATAGTCCCAACTCTAGTTTTTGCAATATTGCAATCAATAATAGAAATATTTGGCTTATTTACCTTAAGCTCTTTCAACATCTGAACCACCGTTTCCTTCTGTTTTGCATGCTGTACTTTCTCTACATGTTTCTCTGACAAAACTGCCTATAAGAAAAAAAAAATTATAGAATTAAAAACAGACAAAACAAGACAAAACTATTAAAATTTAGAGCATTATCAAAAAGTACAAATATATTTAATAATTTAAGGATAAAACACATAAAAGTTTACCATTAACTCTTGATGCATCACTCTCTGAATGGTATTCCTTCTTTCCTCTCTTTCACTTCTTTTCTTAATTTCCCTTGATGCCACTTCCTGAAATTCAAAATATTTCAAAACTTATTAAAATGTTAACTTTTTTCAAAAATTATGAAATCCCCAACTTAATGAAAAGTTTACTTTTTAAAAAAATTATCAAATCCCCCACCCACCCATTTTTATCAGTTCCTGGAACATTGCAACCAATGATAGTTACATTTGGAATATTTACCTGAAGCTTTTTTAACATTTCAGACATAATCTTCTTTTGATGATGGAATTCTATTTTCTCTTGATTCCTTTTAACCAAAGCTCCCTGTATAAATATAATTAAATAAAAACAAAATTGATTTTTTATATCATAGAAATTTAATAGCAAATATAAAAAAAGTATAATATAATTTGATACTTGGTGGCTTTGTTGAATTTCTATAAAATATGGATCCCTTCATTAAGGTACTTTGCAGAAATATTAGATTTAAATTTGTTTTTTTTTTTTTTGGTTTCAATTTTACATGTCCAAACTATAAAAATTTTGTAGTCAGTCTTTTAGATGTACAAGATTTTTATCTTATTCTTTCTTGTCTTGTCATTAAATTATCTTTATGTTATTTTCTAATTTTGTATCTATGCTCCACATTTTTGGATGCCAAAAATAAAAAAAAAAAAAAAAAAAAAAGTTCACATGAAAACTTACCATCAGCTCTTTGTGAATAGCTTTCCAAGTTGTCTTCCTTCTCTCTTCTCTCTCATTTCTTATCTTCAGTTCTCTTGATGCCACTACCTGAAAATGAAAATTTATCAAAACTTATTAACAGTTAAGGTTATTTTAAAAAATTTTGAATAGTCCCAACTCTAGTTTTTGCAATATTGCAATCAGTAACACTGATATCTGGCGGCATATATACCTTCAGCTCTTTCAAAACAAGAACATAATCAAAAAGTACAATTATATAAAATAAATTAAGGATAAAACACATCAAAGTTTACCATCAACTCTTGATGCATCACTCTCTGAATGGTATTCCTTCTTTCCTCTCTCTCACTTCTTTTCTTAATTTCCCTTGATGCCACTACCTAAAAATTCAAATTTATTAAAACTTATTGAAAAGTTTATACCCTTTTCAAAAATTTAATGAAATCCCCCACCCATCCATTTTTATCAGTTCCTGGAACATTGCAACCAATGGTGGTAACATTTGGCATATTTACCTCAACCTCTTTTAACACTTCTGACATGATCTTCTTTTGATGATGGAATTCTATTTTCGCTTGATCCCTTTTAACCAAAACTACCTGTATAAATATAATTAAATAAAGACAAAATTAATTTGCTATATCAAAGAATCATAGAAATTAAATTGCATATATATACAAAAAAGTATAGTACAGCCACGTAGGATCGATTTTGAAAGTGGGGGGGGGGGGCAGAGAAAATTCTCTTTTACTCAACTGAAAAAGTTGACAAGCAAAAAAAAAAGAAAGTTGCCAAACTCGAAAGTCCTATTTCGTGGGGTGGGGGGGGGGCAATCAACCTTCCAATCAACATTTCCTATAGTATAGATAAGGTTGGGGAAAAAAGTGGGGGGCCAGCCCCCCCCCCCCCCTTGCCCCCTGCCCCCTGCCTGTAGTATCATTAGATACATGTGAAAGAGCATGTATTTTTTTTTTATTCAAAGTTTACCTTTAATTCTTCGTGGGTTGTCTTCCAAAATTTCCTCGATTTTTCTATGGCAAGAAATGTTTGCCTGAGCTTCACGATCTTTTTAGGGGCTTCTCTCTGTAATACAATTAGAATACATGTATTTATCAATCTACAAAGAAAAAAGTTAATATCATTTGACATCTTTTAAGAAGTCTACACAGTACGTACCATTAGTTCCTCCTGCATCTTTTCTTTAAGCTTTATTTGTGGCGCCTTCTGATTCCATCTTTAATAAGTTCTTCTATACAAATATACAAATATTAAATAAATAAATGAAGTAAATGAATAAATTTATGAATGTTATCTAATTGACCTATTATAAAGGAGAAGGGTGTACATAGACTTTGTCATTGTAAATTTCACGCGTGAATTTTAATAAAAAATATTTAAAAATTTAATCATATAATCTTTTAAAATGTGCTCATTTGTAAATAAAAATGGTACTCGTGTATTTTCTCAAAAGTATGTATTAAGCCCTGCATTACCTGTCGCACTTCTTCCTCTTCGACCATCTCGACCCAACTTCTTTCAAACTTTAATATCTCTTTCTTTGATTTCTAAAAATAAAAATTCACAGAAACATCTTTATTTGCCTCCAACTATCTTTATCTCAGATTATAGAAAATAGTTTTACTCTCGAACACAAAATGGTTGATATGTAAATGATGTATATACTTGTAAGTTTTTATCAAAAGGCACGGGTCTAGCATTTTGATCTATTCATTGACTTTACTTTAGATTTAGTTTTGACCCCCCCCCCCCCCCCCCCCCCAAAAAAAGTGAATAAATAAATTCATAATTCAGAGTCTAAAATACTCACCAGGTCTTTCACAACTTCTTCCCCGAAGTCCAAAATTAATTCTCCGTCCTGTAATGGTTAATAAAATATTTAAGTTTCTAGGAACTTGATCCCCCCACCCGTAATCAATTTAATATATTTTTTAAGTAAATGGTAAGAGCTGCTGATAAGATCCTTACAAAAGGGATGGGGAGCATGTTTATCGGTACATCAGCTGAACGGCAGGCCAGTTCGCTCAGAATTTCCTCAAGTCTCTGTTCCATGTTCATTTTCTCACTCTCTACTGCAGTCTGGAAAAAAAATAAAGCTTTAAAAGTGTTGCTTGATTCGTTTTTAGAATATGTATACTCCACAAGAATATTGTAAGATATTTAAAACTAAAAATTGCCAAAATTATTATATAGGGTATACATGTAAATACTACACATTTAAATAAGAAAATTAAACATATAACGGTAATAAATACATGTGGAAAAATATGTATTTCCGATAAACTATTTAAAATTAGGTAAAAATTTCATATCGTTGAAATTAATCGTAGTTAATAAGAAGAAAATGACTACAATCAGCATGATTAATGAACCGCTAACCTAGATTACAACTCGAGAAACATACCCACGTGTATATACAGAGTACAAATATATATAAACGGATCAAAGTATCTAGACTTCGAACAGTATTAATTCTGAAATTTATTCTCACTAGACTTTAATTTAGTGCAACCGGTTAGACAAACTATATTTAAGTGTTAATGAAGATAAAAAGCGTTCACAAACAACATTTCAGTAACAGAAAAGGATTTACTCACAAATTGCACCTCTGCCGCTTTTTGTAAACAAAACTAAACTATGACGTCATAGGTCATCGCTAAAGACCTCAATCATGACGTAACAATGTGTTAATGAATTTATCATTTTGATAGGCACCCTAGGGCCTAAATCAAAACTCTTTTTTCTTTAATTATAATGCGTACATATAGTATAATAATAATTCAAGAAAAGTTCACCATTTCAAATATTTAGGATGATAAGGTTCAACATTTAAAAGAAAAAGTAATGAAAGGAAAACTACCAGTGTGGGTCCTTTCTAAATCTATAAATACAAAAAATTGTTTAACTAATCAGATGTAAACAGATCTATACGTAGCGTATGAAGAGCTACACGTAACAACTCACGAGACAAATGATTTTTTCCTTACAGACACTTTAAAAATGCTTTTACTTTAAAATACATTAAAATTCTAAATCAAAGCGACTACTTACAATTTGCACGTCCACGACTATGTTGTCAACAAAACAGTGATGTATTATGACGTCATAATCACAATCAAAGGCCTTTTGATGTTTGAAAACATTTGGGTGATACTGATTTCCGACTTAGATATTTTATAAGTAATATTTCTGCTATTAAAATAAAAAGAAACATTTGATGGTTGTCAATCACACAGGTTTTCATGTTACAAAAAATTGCATATCAGTTTGATATCATTCTAAGAATTAGCATATAAAAAAGAAACTAGAGGTACTGTGAGCAATGAGCTCACTAAATGATGCATGTACCCTGCCTTCAATATGAATGTAATGGGAGTGTCCATATTTGTTGTGGCAAACACAAATTATGTGTAAGATCACCACAATGGCAGTAAGTAATAACGATTCTGTGAAAGTTTCATCAAATTTCATTGAGTGGTGTGAGAGGATTTGCGGATAAGAGATGGGTACCCCGAAACGTAACGGACGGATAGACAGACGGACGTGCAGCTAGACGGACGGACGGACATAACGATTACTATATACCCTCCCAATTTTCAAGCGGGAGGTATAAAAAAGGCTGATAGAAAAGATATATACGTGGTTGATCAAAAAGTTTGCGAACTACCTCTATCTTTACAAAACCACAATTCAGATAAGAATGAAATTTGGTATACATAGAGTCAAACACAAGTTCTATAAATAGCATATGTATGTTTTGTTCCATGTTTGTGATATCTCAATGTACACCTGTAAATCTCTTGTGACCATAACATGGCTACACATAAACTACAAGTTAAGCTCAAAATTTTAAACATAACAAATATCTTTGAAAATCCCTATGCAGTAGTGACTAATAATTTGTACACGGTATTTGAAGACAAAAGACTTGTCAAAAGTTTAAAGTCATAAATTGGATTGATTGATTTAGTGAAGGAAGGGGGATGTGAAAATGATGTTCGTTCTGATACCTAGTGAAAATAGCTGGGGAAAAAGTTTGTTTTGAATAATTTGATATAAAAGTCTTTGTTATTACATTTAACAAACGTTAATTCTTAACAACAATATTATTATTAAATCCATAAAAAATACATTACCTTAAACTTTAAATTTATGTAGAGATGAACCAAAAATATAATTTCGCATTGAATAAACAACACTTCCAAGACAAAGGACTTAGGTTATGGTGGTCACCGTATGCTCATTATGAACAACGATATCCTTCTGATAAATTGACTATTTTTGTTATAAAAAAATAACTTGCATAGTAAGAAATACGAGGGTTGTCCCAAAATTTCGTAGACTGAGCTCATATCTCTTCAAGAAATTAATGCTTCTTTATAAAATTTTCAGGGTGGATAAAGCGTGTTCTTGACAGATAAATTACGAAGTTTTATCATGTTTAATTGAAAACTTTTCGAGTTATAGGATTTAAAGTGATATCGTCATGTAGCACCCGGAGCAATCTGCAACGTCAAAAAATACATATGTCAACGCTTCAATTTTTTTGAGAAAATATTTGAATTACCAGGATCAAATTCTTAAATTGAACGAAACGGTTATAGTTATAAATGTGAAATACCTTAATAACTATGATATGAGCAAACATTAAAATATGTAAACAAAGTATATGCATGTACAGGTATAAAATTATAGTTATCTGAAAACACTATACTTCTATCGGCTTTTCGTCTGTTTTCTCTAATGAAGTTGCACAATGGAGTTCTTGCCTATTTCTTAGCCATGACTTTTATTTTAGTTTTATTCACATATACTTAGAGAAACTGTTTTAGTCATTTTAAATACTTAGGACGAGAAAAAGTTTCCTAGTGTACCAAACATTTATGACTGGTACATTTCTGTGAGAGTGAATTCAGGATCAAAACACTTGAACATAGTCCAGTGCGCCGCCTCTGCCAAAGCAGCTGCCATTTTTCAAAAAGTCGGATTTCAACCCCATGTATACAAAACGTTGTAAAATTCATCTTTATCAAAGAATACACACCAAAATTTTAGGAAATATAGTAAATAAAACTATATTGAGAATTTTTACCTCCATTAAAAAAATACAGGGTAGTAATCACTTTTCCGTAGGATTTTATATATAATATGCCAATTTTTAATTGTAACTTTTGGGTATTGCGCCGCCTTCCCACATTAGACAATGTTTTCGGTCTTTTTAATTAGATTAATCTGTGAAGTTATTCCATATTTGTTCATAAATTTATTAGATAGTGTTGGTTTAATCTATATTCGAAGTTTCATTAATGTATGACATAGGGTTCCTACAATACAACGCTTGTCTACGGAATTTTGGGACAACCCTCGTAAATGAGTCTGAAAAATATATTAGCTTCGAATTCTGTGTCCGGAGCATGTTACTTGTCCGCCTAGATCACGTGATTCGTGCAATGGCAGAACGGTTAAGGATGTGCGTTAAAATCAGAGAGGACTGTTCAATACTGAAACCCTATATCATTTCTTTTAAGGATTGATTGATTGTTTATTGTTTAATGTCCCACTCGAGAATTTTTCACTCATATGAAGACTTCACCGTTTGCTGTACACAAATTTGAAGGGCTTCAAATTTATACCTATACTCGGCACTCAGGGCCATTGAGCAGTTAGGGTTTTTTTCATCGTACCAATGCCTACAGTAACACAGGAGCTACATATCCGAAAGACCCGTGACTTTCACTGCTAGTGCCGAGCGCTTGGCGAAGGAATAGTCACTACCTATATTTACGTCTTAGGTTTGACGCGGCGCCGCAAACAAGAATCGAACCAGGGCCTCCCGATCACGAAGCAAACGCTCTACCACTAGGCTACCGTGATCGGTTTTCTTTTATGGAAGTTATTCAATTAGTTCACGAACTTTTTGATCTCCCCTCGTACCTTAGTGTAGTCTAGTTTTTTAGAATTATTTCAAATCCAAATAAAACTGAAAGAAGAGAAGCTATTAAGGACAGATGATACAAACAAACTTTTGTCAAAGAATTTGAAAATGACAACTTGTTACATGTTTAAATGAATAAAATGAGTTACTTTCACCGCGCAAGTTTTTATTTTTTATTCAAATTTGCACAAAAATGGAATTTTAAGTGAAAAATATTTGTATAGATTAATAAGGATGGTTTCAGAAGGGCACACTTTTGAACATCACAGATGTTTACAATTAGGTTTACAATTTCCTTATATTCTATAAATTTATTATTTACATCATTTGCAATGAAATGTGACCAAAAAAAAATATACCAATCCAGACATCCATTTTTTTTTTGTATCATCTGTACTTAACATAAATTTCTATCTTTATTTATTACGGCATCCCCCTTCATCAAAATTAAAAAAAAAAAAAACAAGAGGCCAATAGGCCACATCGCTAAACTGAGTAACTTTGGTGATGCAGCTCTTTACCAGATTTCCCCTCTTGTTTTCCCTATTGTGGCCCCCACCCCTTCCCCTGTCATGATTTCAATACTGACTTTAGAATTTACACTGCCCAGATGATCCAACATTTGTTTCAGCTTTCCTGGCCCAGTGGTTCTTGAGAAGATTTTAACAGATTTTTCCTATAAACTGTATTTCTATTTAAAATTTGGATTCCTATTGTGGCCCCACCCTACCCCTGGGGGTCAAGATTTTTACAATTTAGAATCTACACTAACCAAAGATGCTTCCACATAAGTTTCAGCTTTCCTGGCCAAGATTTCTAAAGATTTTCCTATGTATTTCTATGTAAAACTTGTATTACCTATTGTGTCTCCGCCCTACCCCGGGGGTCATGATTTTAACAATTTAGAATTAACAGTACAGCAGGATACTACCACATAATATCCAGCATTCTTGGCCGAGTGGTTCTTGAGAAGAAGATTTTTAATTATTTTTTCTATGTATTTCAGTGTAAAACTTGGTTTCCCTATGGTGGCCCCGCCCTACCCCCGGGGGTCATGATTTTAACAATATATAATCTACACTACCTAAAATGCTTCCACATAAGTTTCAGCTTTCCTGGCCAAGTGGTTCTTGAGATTTTTAAAGATTTTTCCTAAATATTTCTATGTAAAACATGGATTTCCTATTGTGTCTCCGCCCTACCCCAGGGGTCATGGTTTTAACAATTTAGAATTTACACCACCCCAGGATGCTACCACATAATATTCAGCATTCCTGGCCCAGTGGTTCTTGAGAAGAAGATTTTTAAAGATTTTTTTCTATGTATTTCTGTGTAAAACTTTGTTTCCCTATTGTGGCCCTACCCCCAGGGGTCATGATTTTAACAACTTATAATCTTCACTACTTAGAATACTTCCACATAAGTTTCACCTTTCCTGGCCAAGTGGTTCTTGAGAAGATTTTTAAAGATTTTTCCTATGTATTTCTATGTAAAACTTGGATTCCCTATTGTGGTCCCACCCTACCCCCGGGGGTCATGATTTTAACAATTTAAAAACTATACTAACCAAAAATGCTTCCACATAAGTTTCAGCTTTCCTGGCCCAGTGGTTCTTGAGAAGAAGATTTTTTAATTACCCCACCTTATTTTTGTCTTTTTCTTGATTATCTCCCCTTGTAAGGGGACTTGGCCCTCAATTTTAACAACTGATATTTTCCTTTACCCAAGGATGCTTTGTACCAAGTTTGGATAAAATTGGCTAAACAGTTCTTGAGAAGAAGTTGAAAATGTCAAAAGTGTACAGACGGACGGACGGACGACGGACATCGGGTGATCAGAAAAGCTCACTTGAGCTTTCAGCTCAGGTGAGCTAAAACATTACAAAGATTTTTTTACCTTTGTAAAAAAAATTACTGAAAATTTTTTATGTTTTTTTATTCAACTTGTGTATCAAATCTCATTAAATTTTACAAAAAGTTAGCATTTTGAAAAAAAAGTTTACTTTCGGACGTAGAGATGCACGAGCGAACGAATGGACAACGGACGCCTCTAATGCATATAAAAAATCGTTCTTTTTTCCAGCACACTCAGTGCACTTAGTGTATATCCCATTCAAACTCTCATGATGACATTCCCTTGCATTCAAGTAAAATGGATAGTAAATTAGTAATCAGGGCTAACTGATATACACTGACCATACATTTCGAAAAACAAAATTTATAAAATTGCAATATTTCCTGAAACTGAAAGATACCACAGAGTCTGACACATCTCTTTCATATTTAGATATTTAACTTGAAAAAGACGTTAACGGGTGTGACAGTCAGCAGGGGATGCTCTCCGGGTTTGCTCAGCTCTAATTTTGTACTGTGTAATGTACTTTTGAGCTTGAATACTGTTCTCCATATATTTCATCAATTAATGTAGCACGCACCATCTTTATAAATATCGAAAAGTTTACAAATAGTATTCTAAACACCAAAATCCTCCCCTAAAAAAGTTAGATTTATTTCAAAATAAGGAACAAGTAACAAATAACAAAGTAAAAAAAAGTAACAAGTAAAAAATAACAAGTAACATAACAAATGAAAAGTAACAAATCATAACCATTTATCATCAATACAACGAGTAGCCTGTAATGTAGATATTCTGCAAATTGTTCAGTTTGTATAATGTTAGAGTTTTTTTTTTAACAGATGTACCAAAAGACATAAATTAGGAGTTCATGTTACCAACAGTGTTAAATGACGATTCCAATTACAGAGTAGAGTTTTCATTTGTTAATACTCACAATCATAAAACAAATCCACACTCAAAAACATCCTTATTTTCTCCTCATTCTTATGTGTTCTCAAGGTCTAGTGATTTTCCTTAATACATACTTTAAGTATAAACAACCTTTTGAGTTATAGAAATAAGTATAAGAATTAGGGAGATATTTCTATATATCTCTGAAGTAAATATACAGGGTGTTTCAGCAAACATGTCCCGACTTTGCCGTTTCATAAAAAAAGTAATACCGCATTCATGAAAGGAAAGCTTGAAGAAAAATAAAAAAAAAACAAATCTTTTTTCTAGAGAGAAGCTTTTTATCAGTGTAGTGATCTCTTTTGTCTTACATTTTTGAAAATACCTGATTGCCTAAATTTTGATGATGTCATAAAATCTTAGATAAGTAATTATGGCGGCATAATACCTTATAGTCACATTTTAATACAATTTGTCGTAAAATTTGCTTCCAAAAGCAGTTTTTTATACATATTTTCTGATTTGGAAAAACATAGATATCCAAATTAAAGTCGGGCATGTTTGTTGAAACACCCTGTACTTCAAAGTTCAGGGAGAACACATTTTCATACTTTGACAGAATCTCGTTTTAAATGTTCGTCTCTAAAGCATCATTTCCTGTAGATCACTGTAAAATTGTCTCTAAAATTAGTATTACTGTTAATGTCTTGTTTACAGGATAGCCTGTTTAGCAGTCGTTTAACAATGATATCATTCATGTTACGACTTGCAATTAACAAAGCTGTGTCTCCATTTTTGGACTGCATGTTTATATCCGCACCCTTTTCAAACAATAGATTAAACATCCATTCTTGGTTATTTTTGCAAGCAATGATTAGAGGAGTCTCTCCATTTTTATTTAATGAATTAATATCAGCACCTCTATGAAGAAAAAGCGTGACCATTTTCTCATTACCGTTATAACAGGCGTGGTGTAAAGGTGTATTTCCATTACGATCACATAAATTTAAATCTGCACTATTTTCCAACAATAAACAGCTTATGCCATAATTATTCCTTTTAGACGCTTGAAGAAGTGGTGTATTGTCATTTGCATCTTGAATGTTAACATTAGCTAGATTTTGGAGTAGTATATTATCATAACTTTTTTCAGATACTAAGTGTATTTGACTTCTTCCCATCCTGTCACTATTATCGACAAGAATCCTCCGTTTAGTAGTGGCGTTACCAAGTAAAAGTTTAACTGTTTCTTCATGTTCGTTTAAACATGCGGCCTGAAGCGGACTTATGCCGTTATTATCTCTGCAGTTGATGATCGCATGATTTCTAAGTAATAGATCTACAATATTTTTGAAATCATCACTGGTTCGAGTAACCCCTACAGTTTCAGCTGATTTATTTTCATCAATGTAATGATCATATGTAGTCCTTTGATTCCCATGGAGACATGCAAATAATAAAGGACTCTTATTGTATTTATCACATAGATTAACATCAGCATTACTGCTAATTAATAATTTAACAATTTCATAATGTCCATACATACAAGCGATGCTCAGAGGACTTATTTCATTATGATTACAAAGATTGATAATAGCATTATTTTGAATCAGCGTTCTGACTATGTCGCTAAAACCTCTTCTACAAGCTTTTACAAGGGGACTTTCTTTCTTGTGGTCTCTTGCATTGATATTGCATTGATGCTCCAGTAATAATTCCACAATGTTTAAATGTCCGCTGATGCAAGCAATATGAATAGGGCATCTACCTTTATTATCTCTTCTTTGAATATCAGCTCCATGTGTGAGTAAAAGTCTTGTAATTGTATGGTTATATGCTTTTCTTTTATTACCATTGGAACAGGTATATGATATAGGGTTCCGGTTGTATTTATCACATAGATTAACATCAGCATTAGTGCTAATTAATAATTTAACAATGTCATAATGTCCATTCATACAAGCGATGCTCAGAGGACTTATTTCATTATGATTACAAAGATTGATATTAGCATTATTTTGAATCAGCGTCCTGACTATGTCGGTAAATCCTCCTCTACATGCTTTTATAAGGGCACTTTCGTTCTTGTGGTCTCTTGCATCAACATTGCATTGATGCTCCAATAATAATTCTACAGTGTTTAAATGTCCGCTGATGCAAGCAATATGAATAGGATGTCTGCCTTTATTATCTGTTCTATGAATATCAGCTCCATGTGTGAGTAAAAGTTGTGCTACTGTATCGAAATTATTCGTTATTGCCAAACAAAGAGGACTACTGGTATAGGTTGTGCACAAATTTACATCTGCATTATGCTTCAGCAAAGTATATATCGTTTTCTTTCGACACGATCTACCAAATCCATATCTTATCTTATAGTGTTTTTTAATATCAAATGCAACAGCTAGTAACAACGCAGTCCATCCCTTGTCATTGCGCACATTAACATCTGCACCATGCTCTAATAATAATTCAACTGCAGGAACATTATGAAATAGGGAGGCAATATGTATGGGATATAATCCGTTCAATGGCGTTTCTATTTCTGTTTTTAACTTTTGCTTCAAACCGTATGATTTGTATTTAGTATATTCACTCATTAAATGCAACAGCTTATGTATCATGGAAGACGCTTTAAACAATGTTCTAAGCAGTTGGTATGACATGTCATGACGAACAATTATAACAGGTTTATTCACAGCGTCACCCCTTCGCTCTAACGCTGAAATATTGGAAATTATAAAATGGCTGTAATATTGCCTCATTAACCCGGTTGATATCTTATTAATAATATTTAATCGCTTTCTGTGGGTATCAACAGTTTCTATCAAAGCCATAAATAGGGCCTTCATTTTAAATCGTTTTTCATCCTGAAGAGACAGATCAGGTACAAAAGTTATATTAATGATATCATCCAATAGTGTCTCGTGTTCTGATGGGCGTATTATGACTTTCATATTTTTGATGCTTTTTTCGTTTTTGGTCCCTATTTGTTCACCAAAACCTCCACGCAAATGGGAATGTGCTTTCTGTGGCATAGTTGGAGCTTTCGTGCATTCCATATTTCTTTCTTTATTCATATTCTCCTCAGGATGTGCATCAGGTGAGTCTTTAACCTCATCTACTACATCAGCTTCCTGAAGACCTGTAGTACTCTTATCTTAAAACAAAAACAGAGCCAGTTGAAAACATGCTACATGTATTACCTCAATACATTCCATATGGACGGATATTCTTCACATGTTTATAGACAATAAAATAGCAAAAGTACATTATGAATTCTCAAATGTTGTAAAGTCCTTCGTTATAAAAAAAACTGTAAATATTAATATTTCGGCCTAAAATCATATTACGCTATGTTCACGATCACATACTTCAGCGACAATTTGCCACAGCCTATTTATAGTGTACACTTAACAAAACTTCTAATTGTTCACTTTAATAACTATATTTATTTAAAAACTTCTTGATAGAATGGATTACATTTTCAAATTATTAAAACAAATGAGTCTTCTCAACAATTATTGAAAGAAAATTAAATATCACCGATGAAAACCAAAGTTCCGTGACGAAGCTTAAAAACAATAAATCTGAACTTTGCGACAGGCGTTTTGTTAAATTGTCTTTTTTGTGATCATTATCAAATTTTAAAAACTGGTTTCACTAAAAACACAAAACATTGGCATTATAGCCATTGAGGTAGAAGGGAGAGCCCTTGGAATGTTGATATCTGGAGCATGCTTGTACCACCTTTTACTCACTTTTATTTTAGTGTTTAATTGTCCTTGATATTACTTTTAAAAATTAACAAACAGTATCAAAAATTCATTCAAACATATTTTTCTATAAGCTGTGCATCATTTGTCATCGTTAATTTATCAAAATTTGAAAGTTTTGGACAAAATTTAACCAAACAGGAATTGACCTTGATCATCGTCTGAGGCCAAAGTTTTGAGTCACAATCTTAGAAAATGGAAACAAACAATTTCAATCGTATGAAAATGATAAGAAATCGGTGCTCGTGGCAGACTAATATTAGCTCAAGCGGTCTGAATTATCCTTAAAGCGGTGCATTTACGTGCTGAACGCCTAAGGATATTGACCAAAAGGCATCTGTGTGATGATGCACCGTCAAATTACCGGATATGAATCCTATCGAACAACATTTAGGATTTTGTTAAGGAATGTCCTATTCAGGGGTACATGGTATCATACTGTAAAAGATGTCTTGCAGTAATTAGAGCAAGTGGTGGTCTAACTCCATAGAGATTATCTTGTGTGAATTTTCATTTTGAGGGTTCATCATTTCCTTGACACTTTGCTAAAATTCTGACGAGATACGTGCATGTACATGAAATTTACGCAACATCGAACTGAAATATCCGTCATTGACCATGAATTAAAAAAAATATTTATTGTATGCATTTGTTCTTTAAAAGTTATAATGTGTTAGGTGAACACTTGAAAGTTTGGTTCAGTGTATATAATGGTAGTCTTAGAAATCTGTGTAACAATATATCCACAGATTGAATTTATATTGTGATAGACTTAATCAAATTAGTACATTTGCTTAATAAGAACCCTTTTACCCATAAAACTATATGCAAATTTTAACACACGACGAATGATGACGGGCAGGAAAAGCTAGCAATAGGTCTCCTGAGTGACTTAGGTGACAAAAAAGTTTTAAAAATAATTAGATCTTACCTAACAATGGTTGGTTTTCTACATCTGAAAAATTTATTAAAAAGGATAGTCAAGAGAATCAATTCCCCAAGCTTTTGGCAATATTATCCTTTATATAATACTACTTATACTATACTATACTATACTATACTATACTATACTATACTATACTATACTATACTATACTATACTATACTATACTATACTATACTATACTATACTATACTATACTATACTATACTATACTATACTATACTATCTTTATATAATACTACTACATTGTTATAACCGTTAAAGTACAGTTCTTTGAAAATCATAAACGTTCGACGTTATTTCTCCGTGACGTCATAAAGGGTTCGACGCACATGCAATGGTTAACATATATATGCTATTGGGTTTGAAAAATAAAACATTGCATTAAAAGTCATAATCAGTCAAATATAGAATATGGATATTACAAATGTAAGTATATATATAAGTAATAAGTTATCATTTTAAAACATCTGTTGGGATATATATAACTTAAACTTTAATTCTGGCTCAACAGTAAACTTACATTATGACGTCATTCTCGTGATGTTATGTAGCCTTTGTAAGTTAAGGTAAAATAAATCGAGCTTACCCATAGATGGTTGGCTTTCTTCGTCTGCAAATAATATTTCTGTTTGAATATCGATTTTATTTAAAAGATATAGCCAAGAGATTAAATTCCATACACTAAAGGTTATTTAAACCGAGCTTACCTAACAATGGTTTCCTTTCTTCATCTGCTAATAATAAATTGATTATAAAATACATGTATATTAAAGAAATATGGATTTGAAGCGAACGAGCTACGATTTACATACAGTATATTTCTTTTCAATTTCATCGCGTTTCTTTAAAGTTATTTTTTGGGATTTTTTTCTCAAAAGATTTACTAACCATCCTTATGTGAAACCTTTCTTCTTTTTCGTAAGTGATGGTACATCGCAAACGTTGACAGAATAGCCAGACTTACTATGATGACAGAAATTATCACAATATGGAATGAGCTTACACGTGCATCCCTGTCACTTCCTTCTCTGTAAAACAAGACGCCCATTTGCCACAACACTGTCACCTGAGTAACTCAAGCCAAGTTTTTCTTCAACATACATTAATACACCCTTGTTTTACTCATCGTGGCACAACACTACACCTGGAGTATGATTTGAAGAATTAAAAATCTACATTACCTCAGGTAGTTTCCCCGTAAGGTTTATGTTTTTTCGCCTTGAGATGAAGCTATTTAAAATACTTTTCCCGTATGTTTCAATGCTAAACATTGATTCCCTACTGTTGTCTTAACCTACCTCACGTGTTAGGGAAGGCTGATATGAACAATTAAGAATCTACATTACTCCAGAATGCTTTCATATAAGTTTCAACTTTTCTGGTCCAGTGGTATTTGTGAAGATTTTTGAAGACTTTTTCCCTGTATGTTTCAAATGTAATATTTTGATTTTCTATCATCATCCCACACTACCCCCTGGGGCGTAATTTGAAAAATTAAAAATCGACACTTCCCAGTATGCTTCCACATACATGTAAGTTTCAGCCTTTTGACCAAGTGTTTTTAGAAGACTTGAATAGATATTCCTATATGTTTCAATGTAACCTCGAATTCTCTATTGTGGTCCAACCCTACCCCAGTGGGCCATGATTTGAACAATATAGAATATAAAATTTGTCGAGATGCTTTTACATAAAATTAAGCTTTTCTGGCTCAGTGTTTTTTTTTTATTTTAAATGTTCCTAACCTATCTCTGTCTTTTCTTTGTCATCCCCCTTTGGAAGGGGGCTTGGTTTTTTTTATTTTAGAATTTTATATATCACTTTTTCCAAGGATGATGTGCGCTAACTCTCATTAAAATTGACCCAGTGTTTCTTACGAAGAAGATGAATATGTGAAAACTCTACAGATAGACAGACTGACAACAGGTGATCAGAAAAGCTCACTGAGCTTACAGCTAATATGTGCTAAACATTGTTCAAGACTTAAGCAATTGAAAGCTTCGAATTCTAGATTTTTGTATAATGCATCAAAGATAGCTTCAAAGGTTTCACTTTACTGTATATGAAAAATACCCAAACTAAAGAAATATTATTACAGAAAGCGCGCAGATATTCACTTTTATAAGGATTCCAATTTCCGGCAAAACCCTGGTTAAAACGCTCGGCCTACGGAATATGTCTCCTAGCAGTACAAGCATGCCAAAGGGTCAAGGATTTAGCTATTTGTTTAGTGATTGTGGACTTTAAAATTTGAACTACGAATTTTTAATTGGATAAATGATTATGTGAAAAAAATTCATCCAAATTAAATAATCAGGTACTTAACATTTTAGTTCCAAAGGTCAAGGGCCTTACTTCTACAACTTTAAGGTTCAGGAATGTGGCCATGTCTGGTGATCTATGAAAGTTGAACCTTAATTTGATGATAATTATGTAAATGACGCTTGTATGTGTTCCTTTCTCTGTGATAAAATGCCTTTTAGTAGGGATATTTGGATCTTGGTTCGTTATTTATAATGTATCATAATGTGTGCAAAAAGTAATCTGTGAAGGATTTTCTAAAAATATTTACCCATCCTTTTCATGAATGTTCCATGGGATTGTAATATTTTCTTCGAAATGTTTTGTGATTTCTTTGTCGAATATCGTCACTGAAAAATGTATTGCTGTTGTTGTTGGTGTAGTTGTCGTCGTTTCTGATATGTTGTAACATTCTTTATCTGTAAAGAAAACTGAGATGTTAAAACTGTATTGCATGGACGGCTTTTAAGGTATGAATTACTAAACTGCAAAATTAATACAAAGTTATTAGGTCTTTCCACCTTTCTGTTGAAAGACCTCTTTAAATGCTTAGTTTATTATTATTATTAGGTCTTTCCACCTTTCTGTGGAAAGACCTCTTGAAATGCTTATGTTTTTTTATTAGGTCTTTCCACCTTTCTGTGGAAATACCTCTTGAAATGCTTATTAGGTCTTTCCACCTTTCTGTGGAAAGACCTCTTGAAATGCTTATGTTTATTATTCTTTTTCTGCCGGACTTTTGAAACCGCAAGACTTATCGAAAAACTTTATAGTTCATGATACTGGATATTAAAAGTTATTCCGAAAAACGACCCAACGTGTTTGTACTTTTACCTCCTACACAGTTATTGCCCCTTTCGTCGTAAAGCTTGTTATCTCTTCTCCTTTGAAACCATAAACCGTAGGGGTATGAAACCTTCACCAATGTCTTTGACTGATTAAGGGTACTCTTCAATCTATTCATTGAAAAAGCATTCGGTGACCCCTTCAATGAGTTATTGCCCCTGAAACTTTTTGAATTTAACAAATAATTTAAAAAATTTAAAATTACAAGTCGTAGAGACATGGGACCAACTGCATAAGATTTATTGATCTTTGACCTTAAAATTCATGTAAAGATCAAAGGTCAAGGTCATTCCAAAATGAGAAATTTAGCTCTTTTTATATCTCTTTTGTCTTTTAACATATATACTTAATGTTTATGCATTATAAATATGTACTCTTAAAACGATTTCAAAGATTTCATTCTTGTCCCCTAACATTAACCCCTTTAAAAGTTATTGCCCTTTGTGCAAAAAACCTTGTTATCGCTACTCCTCCGAAACCGTAGACCGTAGAGACACCAAACCTTCACTAATGTGTTAAGGGTCTTTAGGCCTAACTTCACTGTATAAATGCGAAAGGATCTGATGAACCCTTAGATGAGTTATTGCCCTTTAACTTCTTTGTACCTTTAACTTCTTTGTACTTTATATAAAACCTTATAACTTGAAAACTGTAAGTCGTAGAAGCATGGGGTCAATTGCATTGTGACCCTTGACCTTTGACCTTGAAGATTTTATCAAGGCCAAAGGTCAAGGTTTTTTTGAATTTTTTTTTTAAATTTCATTTGTTCTATGCTTTAGGACAATTTTGGTTTCTTATTCATGGAATTTAATTCTAAGGAGTCAGATATAAAACAAAATTGAAAAGTTCAAAGAAGGTGGAAAGACCTCTTATTGTTCTCTGAACAATAAGTCTCCTAGTTATTATTATTAGGTCTTTTCACCTTCCTGTGGAAAGACCTCTTGAAATGCTTATGTTTATTATTAGGTCTTTCCACCTTTCTGTGGAAAGACCTCTTGAAATGCTTATGTTTTTTATTATAATTTTATTTCTGCCGGACTTTTGAAACCGCAAGACATATCGAAAACCTTAATAGTTCATGAAACTGGATATCAAAAGTTATTCTGAAAAACGACAGCCCTTGTTTGAACTTTGACCCCTTTCAAAGTTATTGCCCCTTTTGCAAGAAATGCTTGTTAACGCTACTCCTTCGAAACCGTAAACCGTAGAGGTATGAAACCTTCACCAATGTCTTTGACTAATTTAGGAGACTCTTCAATCTATTTATTGCAAAATTCGTCGACCGCTTCAATGAGTTATTGCCCTTGAAACTTTATGAATTTTAGGAATGATTAAAAAAAATTCAAAACGAGAAGTTGTAGAGGCATGTGACGAACTGCACAAGATTCACTGACCTTTGACCTTTAAATTTATGTAAAGGTCAAAGGTCAAGGTCATTCCAAAACTGAGAAATTAAGCTCTTTTTATATTTCTTTTGTCTTTCAACATATACTTAATGTCTTTGAATCATTATTATGTACTCTTAAAACTATTTCAAATATATCATTCTTGTCCCCTATGATTAACCCTTTTAAAAGTTATTGTCCCTTATGTGAAAAACCTTGTTATCGCTACTCCTCCGAAACCGTAAACCGTAGAGACACTAAACATTTACTAATGTCTTAAGGGTCATTAGGCCTAACTTCAGTTTATAAAAGCGAAATGATCTGATGACCCCATATATGAGGTATTGCCCTTTAACGTCTATGTCCTTACTATTAAACCTTATGACTTGAAAACTATAAGTGTTAGAAGCATGGGGTCAACTGCATTGTGACCCTTGACCTTTGACCCTGAATATTTTTTCAAGGCCAAAGGTCAAGGTCATTTAATTTTTTTTAATTTCTCTGTCCATTAAGACAATTTTGGTTTCTTATTCATGGAATTTAATTTTAAGGAGGCAGATATGAAACAAAATTAAAATTCAAACAAGGTGGAAAGACCTCTTATTGTTCTGTAAACAATAAGTCTCTTAGTTATTATTAGGTTTTTCCACCTTCCTGTGGAAAGACCTTTTGAAATGCTTATGTTTATTATTAGGTCTTTCCACCTTTCTGTGGAAAGACCTCTTGAAATGCTTATTAGGTCTTTCCACCTTTCTGTGGAAAGACCTATTGATTGCCTTCTGTTTCTTCTTTTTTATTATTTTTCCGCCATGTGATTTTTTGTTTCAAGATTTATCGAAAAGATTTATAGTTCATAAGAATGTACTCCATAAAAGATTATTGCAGTTTACCCTGCGTAAATAAATCTTGACTGCTTTCGAAGTTATTGCCCCTTTCTCAAGAAATGCTTGTTATCGCTACTCCTTAGAAACCATAAACCGCAGAGGTATGAAACCTTTATGAATGTCTTTGACTAATTAAGGGGACTCTTCAATCTATTCATTGCGAAAGCATTCGGTGAACCCTTCAATGAGTTATTGCCCCTGAAACTTTTTGAATTTTAAAAATAATTGAAAATTTTCAAAACGAGAAGTCGTAGAGACAAGGGACCAACTGCATAAGATCCATTGACCTTTGACCTTAAAATTCATAACAAGGGCAAAGGTCAAGGTCATTCCAAAAATGAGAAATTTAGCTCTTTTTGTGTCTCTTTTGTCTTTCAACATATACTTAATGTCTATGCATCATTAATATGTACCTTTAAAACTGTTTCAAAGATTTCATTCTTGTCCCCTAACATTAATCCTTGTAAAAGTGATTGCCCCTTGTGCTAAGAAACCTTGTAATCGCTACTCCTCTGAAACTGTACACCGTAGAGACAACAAACCTTCACTAATGTCTTAAAGGTCTCTAGGCCTAACTTCACTGTATAAGTGCAAAAGGTTCTGATGACCCTTATGTGAGTCATTGCCCTTTAACTTCTTTGCGCTTACTATTAAATCTTATAACTTGAAAAGTTCAAAAGGATCTGATGAACCCCTTATATGAGTTATTGCCCTTTAAATTCTATGTACTTACTATTAAATCTTATAACTTGAAAACTATAAGTCGTAGAAGCATGGGGTCAATTGCATTGTGACCCTTGACCTTTGACCTTGAATATTTGTCAAGGTCAAAGGTCAAGATCATTCATTTTTTTTATTTTCATTTTTTTCAATGTTTTCAGACAATTTTGGTTTCTTTTTCATGGAATATAATTTTAAGGAGTCAGATATAAAACAAATTTGAAATTTAAAGAAGGTGGAAAGACATCTTATCGTTCTGTGAACAATAAGTCTCCTAGTGTTTCTTGTTATTATTCTTTTTCTGCCGGACTTTTGAAACCACAAGACTTATCGAAAAACTTTATAGTTCATGATACTGGATATCAAAAGTTATTCTGAAAAATAACCCAACGTATTTGAACTTTGACCCCTTACTCAGTTATTACCCCTTTAGTCGTAAAGCTTGTTATCGCTACTCCTCCGAAACTGTAAACCGCAGAGTTTCCAGACCTTCACCTATGTCTATGACTTAATTAGTAGACTTCAATCCCTCACTGCAAAAGGATTCGTGAACTCCTATCATGAGTTATTGCCCCTGAATGTTTGCAATGTTTACAAATATCAAAATCTATTCTTAAACAACATGTCGAAGACACATGGGGCCAACTGCAAAAGATTCTTTAACCTTTGACCTTAAAATTTAGGTCAGATTCAAAGGTCAAGGTCATTCAAAATATGAAAAATTAAGCTTTTTTTATACCTCTTTTGTTCTTCACCAAATTTTAAACATCTTCAATATGTACTCTTAAAACCATTTCAGAGATTTCATTCTTGTCCCCTAAGATTGACCCCTCTGAAAGTTAGTGCCCCCTTTAGTGTAAACCCTTGTTATCGCTACTCCTCCAAAACCGTAAACCGTAGAGGTACGAAACCTTCAAAAATGTCTGCGACTAATTAAGTACACTTTCCAATCTATTCAGAGCAAAATAATTCGTACACCTTTTAAAAAGTTATTGCCCCTGACAGTTTATGATTCTCTGTAAGCACCAACGAATTTACTATAGGGCTTGGATACGACATGTCTCAGATTTTGATGAAATTTTTACCATAGGTGTGTCTTGGTACAAAACTAGTAAATATGGTGTCGGAAGTTCCACACGTGCACTTGGTTGCCATGGAGACGGATCCATTGAATTCGGCCATATTTGGCCCATTTTGACTAAATGAAAACATGAAAATTTAGGAAATGTAAATGAATATTTATCGGTATCTAATACACTCTAAAAAAAAATCATTGGATCAATTGATAACATGACCTTTTAAGGTACACAGAGCATATACTCGTTTATTCTAGAAATATTCTTCCTGTAAGAAAAAGGTCATGCAAAATGACATGGTTTCTAAAAATTTGAAAAATGGGAAAATTGGAATTTTTTGAGAACTTTGAGGCTAAATAAGAAAAATTGTCCGCGAAAATTTCCCAAATCTTATATGTGTAATTATACTTGGGAATAAGTAGTGTCATTTGATGAAAAAACATAAGTGGGCTTTTGCTCTTATTTTTAGTAACATGTATCTATAAATAGATATATTTTAGAAAAATGT